ATTGATAGTCCTTGAGAAAATATTTTTAAAAAATCCACGTTTATTGATAGTCCTTGAGAAAATATTTTTAAAAAATCCACGTTTATTGATAGTCCTTGAGAAAATATTTTTAAAAAATCCACGTTTATTGAAAGTCCTTGAGAAAATATTTTTAAAAAATCCACGTTTATTGATAGTCCTTGAGAAAATATTTTTAAAAAATCCACGTTTATTGATAGTCCTTGAGAAAATATTTTTAAAAAATCCACGTTTATTGATAGTCCTTGAGAAAATATTTTTAAAAAATCCACGTTTATTGATAGTCCTTGAGAAAATATTTTTAAAAAATCCACGTTTATTGATAGTCCTTGAGAAAATATTTTTAAAAAATCCACGTTTATTGATAGTCCTTGAGAAAATATTTTTAAAAAATCCACGTTTATTGATAGTCGTTGAGAAAATATTTTTAAAAAATCCACGTTTATTGATAGTCCTTGAGAAAATATTTTTAAAAAATCCACGTTTATTGATAGTCCTTGAGAAAATATTTTTAAAAAATCCACGTTTATTGATAGTCCTTGAGAAAATATTTTTAAAAAATCCACGTTTATTGATAGTCATTGAGAAAATATTTTTAAAAAATCCACGTTTATTGATAGTCCTTGAGAAAATATTTTTAAAAAATCCACGTTTATTGATAGTCATTGAGAAAATATTTTTAAAAAATCCACGTTTATTGATAGTCCTTGAGAAAATATTTTTAAAAAATCCACGTTTATTGATAGTCCTTGAGAAAATATTTTTAAAAAATCCACGTTTATTGATAGTCCTTGAGAAAATATTTTTAAAAAATCCACGTTTATTGATAGTCCTTGAGAAAATATTTTTAAAAAATCCACGTTTATTGATAGTCCTTGAGAAAATATTTTTAAAAAATCCACGTTTATTGATAGTCCTTGAGAAAATATTTTTAAAAAATCCACGTTTATTGATAGTCATTGAGAAAATATTTTTAAAAAATCCACGTTTATTGATAGTCCTTGAGAAAATATTTTTAAAAAATCCTCGTTTATTGATAGTCCTTTGAGATGTTCGAAAAATATTTTTTCAAATAAATATAAAAAAAAATAGAGTGCAATAATAACACCAGACAATGGTAGTAAAAACTACATTAGCTGTTAAGTAAATCTGACTATTTTATGTAAATATTGCCCCTGAAGATGCAATTTGATAATTGCGAAATATTGGGAACATATTATTGTAATCAATAAAATAAATGCGAAAATGGCCTAAAGCTCGAGAAAAAAAAGAAAAAAAAAAAAACTTATTATTTATAAATAAAATAAATAAATAAATATTTAAAAATTGCAAATTTCGAATTTTGACAAAACTGTAGGTTCGACCGGGCCAAACTTCTCCCCCATTCGGAATGAATTTTACAATTTTCAATTAGAAATTCTATTAAAATCTTAAAAATACCGAATATAGCTGTTTATAAGACGACCTGCTTAGGCAAATTTTGTCATAAGCCATTACAATATTCAAATGCGAAACTTTAAAAAAAAATCGGTGAATAATGTTGCTAAAATCATAAATATAGGGAGGTACTAATATGTGGAGACTATACCTAAATGTGGACCTGCCCAGACAAATTTCTGTCTAAGGCTGTAGTACCCATTACGAACTTCAAATATCAAATTTGAAACATTTCCGGTGAATAATGTCGCTAAAATCATCAAAATACCGAATATCGGGAGGTACCGTTATATAGATGTGGATATTTTTTATAAGGCGTGGTTTTTTTAAATATTTTTTATAAGGCGTGGATTTTTAAAATATTTTTTATAAGGCGTGGTTTTTTTAAATATTTTTTATAAGGCGTGGATTTTTTAAATATTTTTTATAAGGCGTGGTTTTTTAAATATTTTTTATAAGGCGTGGATTTTTTAAATATTTTTTATAAGGCGTGGACTTTTTAAATTTTTTTATAAGGCGTGGACTTTTTAAATATTTTTTAAAAGGACTGGATTTTTTAAATATTTCTTAGAAGGCGTGGATTTTTTAAATATTTTTTATAAGGCCTGGATTTTTTAAATATTTTTTATAAGGCCTGGATTTTTTAAATATTTTTTATAAGGCGTGGATTTTTTAATTATTTTTTGGAAGGCGTGGATTTTTTAAATATTTTTTATAAGGCCTGGATTTTTTTAATATTTTTTATAAGGCCTGGATTTTTTAAATATTTTTTAGAAGCCGTGGATTTTTTAAATTTTTTTTGTAAGGCGTGGATTTTTTAAATATTTTTTAGAAGCCGTGGATTTTTTAAATATTTTTTAGAAGCCGTGGATTTTTTAAAGATTTTTTATAAGGCGTGGATTTTTTAAAAATTTTTTTATAAAGCGTGGATTTTTTAAAAAAAAATTTATAAAGCGTGGATTTTTTAAAAAAATTTTATAAAGCGTGGATTTTTTAAAAATTTTTTATAAAGCGTGGATTTTTTAAACATTTTTTATAAAGCGTGGATTTTTAAAAATTTTTGTGGCGCGGATTGTTGAAAATATTTTTAAGGCGCGGATTATTCAAAATATTTTTTAGGCTTGGATTTTTTGAAAATTTTTTATAAAGCGTGGATTTTTAAAAATTTTTATGGCGCGGATTGGTGAAAATATTTTTAAGGCAGGGATTATTCAAAATATTTGTATAGGCTTGGATTTTTTAAAAATAAGTTTTAAGTCCTGGATTTTTTAAAAATAATTTTTAAGGCATGGATTTTTTAATATTTTTATAAGGCTGGATTTCTTAAATATTTTTATAAGGCGTGGATTTTTTAAATATTTTTAAGGCGTGGATTTTTTAAATATTTTTTAAGGCGTGGATTTTTTAAATATTTTTTAAGTCGTGCATTTTTTAAATACTTTTTAAGGCGTGCATTTTTTAAATATTTTTAAGGCCTCCATTTTTTAAATATTTTTTTTTTAATTTTATTCTATTGAAATACTTGCTTTTTCAATTCCACATAAATCGAATCTTCGTCTAATACACCCAAATGTTCTTACTTAGAAGATCGTTTTTAAGACCAGTTTTTATTAACACTTTATGTTCACACATTTTTACCCTTTTAACGAAGTGCCATTTTCTGGTTAAAAGTGGCGCCCAATCATGAATTACCCCCCTATTTTCAACAAATATTTGTTTATGGCATTCTCCAATGAAATTGTGGGTGGAATGGTTTTATCACTTCACATAAGACACTCTCTGTGTTATGTGCTGTGCTCTGCTGTCACGCCGCCGAAGTGCAGCGGACACCAACGTTTACCACAAAACAGAAAAAAAGCCAGACCATAGTAAATTGGGTTAAATTTAATCATATTTTCCCTGTCATAGCATTTTCATGTTACGCCAGGCCGGCATGCCCTGGCATAAAAATGCAACGCAATGCAGCCAGCCTGCATGTCCGCCAGTCAGCTAAGTAGCCAGCCAGCTATCCATCCAACCACTCACTTCTGCTCTTCCCTTCACTTCATCGTTGATGGTTTCGGTAAACATTGTTGTGGTTTTTGCCTTGATGATCTTCCATTTAGGGGCGGGGGAGGGTATTTCAAGTTGGCCAGAGGATAAAGTACGACAAGATTGAAATATTAAAGTTTTCAATACATTCGATTTTGGTTTTGTTTGGCTTTTTATTTTTATTATTGAGTGTTACAATATTCAAAACACATAAATTTGATATCCCGCCTGGGCTACGATATCGTAAAAGGGTCAAAAGAGGGGGAGAAGTGAAAATGTTTCAATTTTAGGAATGAAAATCTACAGACAATGTGGTGAAACTGAAAATGAAAACTGCATAAAACTGTTTAAAAAAAAAAATAAAAACTGAATTTTTTGGAAAAAAAATTGATAAAACATTTTTGAAAAAAAAAAAAATAATTTTTTTTTGAAAAAAAATTTAATTTTTAATAAACAAAAATCTTAAAAAAAAATAAATTTTGAAAAAAAAATATTTTTTTTTTTTAAAAATTTAATTTTGAAAAACAATAATTGTTTCGAAAAAAAAATAATTTTTGGAAAACAAAAAAAATTTTTGACAAAAATAATTTTTGTTAAAATAAATAATATTTTACAAAAAAATTGTTAAAAAAAAAATATTTTTTTGAAAAAAAAAAAAGAAAATTAAAAAAAAATATTTTTTTAATTAAAAAAAAATATTTAAAAAATCCACGCCTTATAAAAAATATTTAAAAAATCCACGTCTTATAATAAAAATTTAAAAATTCCATGCCTTAAAAAAATGTAAAAAGATGCAGGCCTTATAAAAAATATATTAAAAAAATCCATGCCTTAAAAAAATATTTAAAAAATCCACGTCTTATAATAAAAATTTAAAAATTCCATGCCTTAAAAAAAATGTAAAAAGATGCAGGCCTTATAAAAAATATTTAAAAAATCCATGCCTTAAAAAAATATTTAAAAAGATGCAGGTCTTATAAAAAATATTTTAAAAAATCCACGCCTTAAAAAAATATTTCAAAAATCCACGCCTTATAAAAAATATTTTAAAAAATCCACGCCTTATAAAAAATATTTTAAAAAATCCACGCCTTATAAAAAATATTTTAAAAAATCCACGCCTTATAAAAAATATTTTAAAAAATCCACGCCTTATAAAAAATATTTAAAAAATCCACGCCTTATAAAAAATATTTTAAAAAAGCCACGCCTTATAAATAATATTAAAAAAATCCACGCCTTATAAAAAATATTTTAAAAAATCCACGCCTTAAAAAAATATTGTAAAAAATCCACGCCTTATAAAAGATATTTAAAAAATCCACGCCTAATAAAAAATATTTAAAAAATCCACGCCTTATAAAAAAATATTTACAAAATCCACGCCTTATAAAAAATATTTAAAAAAATCCACGCCTTAATTTTTTTTAATTCACGCCTGAGAAATATTTGAAATTTATTTAATTTTTATTAAATTATTTTATTTAATATTATTTTTATATTATTTTTTTCAGAAACACAAAGAATGGCTTAAGCAGCGGAATCGAGAACGCAACAATCATCTCTCAAATTTTGATGCTCAGCAAAAGTCGGTGGAACTTTTAAATTTATGGCGTTTTGATAACACTAAAACTGGCGATGATGATCCGCGGGCCAATGATGTGTATCCGGAGAATGAAAGGATTTTGAAACCGGTGTTTATAACCACAACACCTACAACAACAACTTCCTCAACGACGACAACCACAACTACAACGACACCAAAACCCAGGACAACAACAACTCCCAAAACAACAACTACCAGCCGTAGACCTCCGACAAGTACCACTACCCGTCGCGCCCCAACAACAACAACAGCGGCCTCATCCACCCGCTATTCCTTGCTACACCAGCCAAGATTCCGGCCATATCCCTCGGATACATTGAGTAATGATATTTTGGAGGCGACACAAGTTATTGCCACCCCAACAAGGACAACTAGCACAACAACCACAACTACGACAACAACAACAACACCTAGACCCACAACCACGATAATGCCTACGACCACTACGTCTACCACAACAACCACTACCACCACCAGGAAACCCAGGCCACGCCCCTATCCTCGCTGGAATGACTGGAGCGAATGGAGCGAGTGTTCGCGTAGCTGTGGCGGTGGGGTTCGTTACCAGCAAAGAAAATGCATCAATCGGTGAGTGGAAATTTTTTCTATTTTTTTTCAAATATTTTTTTCAAATTAAATTTTTTTTTAATTTTTTTCAAATTATTTTTCTAAAAATGTATCAAATTTGAATTTTTATTTTCGATAAAAAAAAAAAAAATAATTACTTGGAAATTCATTGCAGTACCATTGCAGTGAGTGGAGATTTTTTTCTCGATTTTTTTTAATTTTTTTTTAAAATTATTTTTCTAAAACTTTATCAAATTTGAATTTTTTATTTTCGATAAAAAAAATAATTACTTGGAAATTCATTGCAGTACCCGTCTTCTGGGTACTTCAGACATTATTCTTGTTTGTATATATTTTTTCGGCCATTTGGGGATTTCCCTGCCAGCCTGCATATGATTAGAGATTTCAATATTGAATTTGATTTCTTTTTTTGCTGTTGTTTGTTCGACGACAAAATATGAATTCTCATTAAAAATATTGAAGCTAATCAGAGAATCTATAACAGTTTTGCTTTCTTATAATTTCTCCAAATCCACGCTTGTGACAACTCAAAAACTTGGGTGACTTATAATGTATATTAGGGTGGGTCAGAACAAAAAAATAAAAAAAGAAAATAAAAACAAAAAAAAAATTAAAAGAAAAAATATAAAAAATATTTAAATAAAAAATATAAAAAAAATAAATAAAAAAATATTTAAATAAAAAATATGTAAAATAAACAAATTTAAATATTCAAAAAAAAAAAAAAAAAAAAAAAAAACAGTAAATAAATAAACGAAAAAATTATATAGAATATAATTCTGATAAATAATTAATTACTTAAAAAAATTAAACCCAAAAACTAATTACCGGAAAAAACCAGCAGATTATGAAAGTAAAGCTAAAAATATAAAGTATCGGCGTTTTGAAAGTTTACATCAAAAAATAATTAAAATAGAGGGGGCAGGTCTTCCCCCTCTTCCACATTTTTGAAAATTTTCGGCTTAAGATTCCTTGGGATCCGTTCATTTTAGGTATATAGTGTCTTCGGTAAGATTGGAGATAAAACCACGAGGATTATTTTGGTTTAACATTTTAACCTTCACGCGAGTCAATAAAGGGGTCTTTTTGGTTCTTTTTTTAAAATATGGTTAAAAACTCCCCTAAAACGGGATCATAGCAAGACAAAATATTCTACAAAATTGATCGGCATAAAATTCTACTATAGGTCCTAGAAGACATCAAAAGTCTAGATCTAAACCTAAACGCCAGGAATTCAAAAATACTAAAAACACATTTTAGGGTTAAAGCCATACTTAATGTGATTTAGGCAAAAATGTCCCACAAAGCATAATTTTAGATGAATGAAGCCAAAGAGAAAAATATTCCTCATCGAATTTCCCTATAAGTCTCCAAAGAACAAAGATCTCTATTTCCAGGGAATACCAAAAAATATTTGCCTTAATGTTCCCTGAAAAAAAGTCGAAAATGTTTCCTAAATATTTTGATCAATTTTTTTTCATCCGTCTTTTTTCGAATTGAAGCCTGAAACTAACTTAAAATTCCGTCTTAGGCAAAAGATGTCAAAAGATGAAATATTCTACACTAAATTTCACTGTATATCTCAGAATAAACTATACATCTGGGATTAATAGGTTTTAAGAAAATTGCTTTCCAAATTTATGTACTAAAAGTAAAAGATATGTGTTTCCTGTTTTTACGGTCAAATTAACACGATTCAACTAGAAGTCAAAATCTCCATCTAGACTTCATTTTTTGGGGAAAGTGTCAAAGGAAGAACTATTCTAAATAGAATTTCACTATGGGTCACCAAATAAATTAAATCTCAATTTCCATTGCATATCAAAAAAATATTGAAACAAAAATTCACAAAAAAAAAAAAAATAAACCGAAAATATTCCCTCATTTTTTTTTCTATTTTTCCTCGGTCTGAAAGTAACAAAAAATTTTGTTTTAGACAAAATCTGTTAAAAGAAGAAATATTCTAGACAAAATTTCCTTATATATCTCAGAACAAACTTTATATCTAGGTACAATAGTTTTCAGGAAAATGGCTTTCGAAATTTATGCACTACAAGTAAAAAATACGTGTTTCCTGTTTTTACGGTCAAATTAACACGTTTCAATTAGAAGTCAAAATCTCCATCTAGACTTCATTTTTTGGGAAAAGTGTCAAAGGAAGAATTATTCTAGATCGATTTTCACTATGAGTCACCAAATAAATTAAATCTCAATTTTCACTGCATATCAAAAAAATATTGAATAGAAATTCACAAAAATGCCAAAAATATTGCTTATTTTTGATCAATTTTCCTTCGGTCTTTTTTCGAGTTGACACCTGAATGTAACATAAAATTTCGTCTTAGGTAAAATCTTTCAAAAGAAGAAATATTCTGCACAATATTTCACTATAAATCTCAGAATAGACTATATAATTAGGTACAATAGGTTTTAAGAAAATTATGCTCGAAATGTATGCACTAGAAGTGAAAATTATGTATTTGCTATTTTTTCTGTTAATTTAACAAGTTTCAACTCGAAGTCAAAATCTTCATCTAGACTTCATTTTTGGGGGAAATTATCAAAGTAAGAATTATTCTAGATCGAATTTCACTATGGGTCACCAAATTAATAAAATCTCTATTTTCATGGCATATCAAAAAAATATTGAAACAAAAATTCCCAAAAATGCCAAATATATTGCTTATTTTTGATCAATTTTCCTTCGGTCTTTTATCGAGTTGACACTTGAAAGTAACATAAAATTTCGTCTTAGACAAAATCTGTCAAAAGAAGAAATATTCTACACAACATTTAACTATAAATCTCAGAATAAACTATATATCTGGGATCAATAGTTTTTAAGAAAATTACATTCGAAAATTTTGTACTACAAGTAAAAATGACGTGTTTCCTGTTTTTACGGTTAAATTAACACGTTTCAACTAGAAGTCAAAATCTCCATCTAGACTTCATTTTTTGGGAAAAGTGTCAAGGGAAGAATTATTTTAGATCGAATTTCACTATGGATCACCAAATAAAATAAATCTCAATTTCCATTACATATAAAAAAATAATGAAACAAAAAGTCCCAAAATTGCAAAAATATTTCCTATTTATTTTTTGTCAATGTTTCTTCGGACTTCTTTCGAGTTGATGCCTGAAAGTAACACAAAATCTCGTCTTAAGTAAAATCTGGCAAAGGAAGAAATATTCTACACAAAATTTCACTATAAATCTCAGAATAAACTATATATCTATGTCAAATATGTTTTAAGAAAATTATACTCGAAATGTATGGACTACAAATGAAAATTATGTATTTGTTTATTTTTCTGTTAATTTAACAAGTTTCCACTCGAAGTCAAAATCTCCCTTTAGACTTCATTTTTGGGGGAAATTATCAAAGGAAGAATTATTCTAGATCGAATTTCACTAGGTGTCACCAAATTAATAAAATCTCTATTTTCATTGCATATCAAAACAATATTAAAACAAAAATTCACAAAACAATAAAAAAAAACCGAAAATATTCCATCATTTTTTGATCTATTTTTCCTCGGTCTGAAAGTAACATAAAATTTTGTTGTAGGTTAAATCTGTTAAAAGAAGAAATATTCTACACAAAATTTCACTATGAATCTTAGAATAAACCATATATCTAGGTATAATAGGTTTTAAGAAAATTATGCTCGAAATGTATGCACTACAAGTGAGAATTATGTATTTGTTTATTTTTCTGTTAATTTAACACGTTTCAAGTAGAAGTCAAAATCTCCATCTAGACTTCGTGTTTTGGGAAAAGTGTCAAAGGAAGAATTATTCTAGATCGAATTTCACTATGGGTCACCAAATAAATTAAATCTCTAATTTCATTACACGTTAAAAAATATTGAAACAAAAATTCCCAAAAAATCCTAAATATTTCCTATTTATTTTTGATCAATTTTTTCTAAGCATATTTTTGAGTTGATACCTGTAAGTAAAATAAAATTTAATTTTAGGTAAAATCTATTAAAAGAAGAAATATTCTACACAAAATTTTACTATAAATCTTAGAATAAACTATATATCTAAGTATAATAGTTTTCAAGAAAATTACATTCGAAATTTATGAACTACAGGTAAAAAATACGTGTTTCCTGTTTTTACGGCGAAATTAACACGTTTTAACTAGGAGTCAAAATCTTCATCTAGACTTCATTTTTTGGGAAAAGTATCAAGGGAAGAATTATTCTAGATCGAATTTCACTATGGGTCACCAAATAAAAGAAAACTCTATTTTCATTACACATTAAAAAATATTGAAGACAAAAAATCCCAAGAAAACTAAAAATATTTCCTATATATTTTTGGTAAATTTTCCCTTGGGCTTCTTTCGAGTTGATGCCTGAAAGTAACATAAAATTTCGTTTTAGATAAAATCTCTTAAAAGAAGAAATATTCTACACAAAATTTCACTATATATCTCAGAATAAATCATACACCTAAGTACGATAGTTTTTAAGAAAATTGCAATCGAAATTTATATACCACAAATGAAAATTATTTGTTCGCTGTTTTTACAAGTTAATTTAACACGTTTCAACTCGAAGTCAAAATCTTCATCTAGACTTCATTTTTGGGGGAAATGATCAAAGGAAGAATTATTCTAGATCGAATTTCACTATGGGTCACCAAATTAAAAAAATCAATTTTCCTTGGGTCTTTTTTCGAGTTGACACCCGAAAGTAACATACAATTTCATTTTAGACAAAATCTGTTAAAAGAAGAAATATTCTACACAAAATTTCATTATATATCTCAAAATAAACTATATTTCTAGGTACAATAGTTTTCAAGAAAATTACATTCGAAATTTATGAACTACAGGTAAAAAATACGTGTTTCCTGTTTTTAGGTCAAATTAACACGTTTTAACTAGAAGTCAAAATCTCGATCTAGACTTCATTTTTTGGGGAAAGTTTCAAAGGAAGAATTATTCTAGATAAAATTTCTCTATGAGTCACCAAATAAATGAAATCTCCATTTTAATTGCATATCAAAAAAAAAAAAAAAAAAATATTGAAACAATAATTCACAAAAAAAAAAAAAAACGAAAATATTCTCTAATTTTTTAATCTATTTTTCCTCGACCTGAAAGTAACATAAAATTTCGTCTTAGGTAAAATCTATCAAAAGAAGAAATATTCTGCACAACATTTCACTATAAATCTCAGAATAGACTATATATCTAGGTACAATAGGTTTTAAGAAAATTATGCTCGAAATGTATGCACTACAAGTGAAAATTATGTATTTGCTTATTTTTCTGTTAATTTAACAAGTTTCCACTCGAAGTCAAAATCTCCCTTTAGACTTCATTTTTGGGGGAAAGTGTCAAAGGAAAAACTATTTATAACCAAATTTTACTATGGGTCACCAAATAAAAGAAATCTCTATTTTCATGGCATACCAAGAAATATTGAAAAGAAATTCACAAAAATGCCAAAAAAATTTCCTATTTTTTATCATTTTTTCCTCGGTCTCTTTTCGATTTAACACCTGAAACTTGCATAAAATTTCGTTTTAGATAAAATCTCTTAAAAGAAGAAATATTCTACACGAAATTTGACTATATATCTCAGAATAAATCATATATCTGGGATCAGTAGTTTTTACGAAAATTACATTCGAAAATTATGTACCACAAGTGAAAATTATTTCTTTGGTATTTTATTGTTCATTTAAGTCGTTTCAACTCGCAGTAAAAATCTCCCTTTGGACTTCATTTTTTGGAGAAGTTGTCAAAGGAGGAGTTATTCTAGATCAAATTCCATTGTCAGTCTCCGAACAAAAGAAATTTGTATATTCAATATTTACCATGGAAAAATATCATCAAACTTTGTTAATAAAGAACCTCGTTAATTTTTGAAAAATTTAACACTTTTACCTCAATTTGCTACCAATTTTCTTATAATTTCACTGTCCAATACCCAGATGGATTTGATAATAAAAATTGAAAAATACGTATAATCCAACAACCCACCATAATATGCATGACGTTTGCTATTATCCGAAAGAAAAAAAAAAAAAAAAAAAAAAAACAAAACTAGAGTAAACTTGTTTTTTTCTCCCGTTTTCTCGGTGTTGAATAATTAATTTTTATTATCAATATTTATTGATATCTTCCAACTAGATAAGGAATAAATTACGGATTATCATAAATATTGTAACTAAATAAAAAAAAAAAAACTTAAAAACCCAAAAAAAAAACATAAAATTAACAAAACTTGTTCCAATTCTAAGCCCTTCAAAACTCGAACCTCATGAAAACAAGACACGAGTCACTGAATCATCTTTGTTTTGTTTTGTCAGCCAAACACCCTCACGTAGCCGACAACAAGTTAATGGCTAATAAAATCTAATAGCTTGGCAATTACCTAGAATCAGTTTAGGCAAGTAATGGCCAATGGTTTTGGCCATTTAGTTAAATTTCCGCTCGACTGGTTTCCGACAAACATGCGTTTCTCTCTTCCATCAAACTAGGCTGTAAGGGTTTCTCTCTCTCACAACCTCTCTCTTTAAAGTCAAAGCCATTAAATTATTAGGAAAAATTTTAAATGCTAATTTGTAGAATAAGACTATTTATTGTTGTTTTTTTTAGTTTTGTTGGTTTGTTGTCTGTTTGAATTGACGTTGCTGTCGCCACCGCACTTCGATTTGTGCAAACAGATGTTTAGTGAGAATTATGTGTTAATTGCCTCAAACGATTGGGTTTCAGATTTCAGATGTGTGTGGTTTCACAAAAAAAGCGCCAGTTTTTTGAGGGAACACTTGAAGAAATTTTGCAATACATAATAGAAATTGCAAATAAATAAATTATTTAATAATCAAATATTTATGTTAAAAATATATCAACGAAGGTGGGCAGATTGAGATATGAAAATTATACCCAAATGTGAAAAAAGTTATCCACAATAACCGATAAAATTATCCACAAGAGTGGATAAAATTATCCGAGAGTATGGATAAAATTACACACAAATTTGGATAAAATTATCCACAAGAGTGGATGAAATTATCCACAGGAAAGGATAAAATTATCCTCAACGTTGGAAAAAATTATCCACTAAGGTGGATAAAATTATCCACAAGCATGGATAAAATTATCCACAAGCATGGATAAAATTATCCACAAGCATGGATAAAATTATCCATAGGCACGGGTAAATATATCCGTAAGTGTATATAAAATTATCCACTTGAGTGTATAAAATTATCCACAAGAATGGATAAAATTATCCACAAACGTGGATAAAATTATCCACAGGCATGGATAAAATTATCCACACTGGTGGATAAAATTATCCACAGGCATGGATAAAATTATCCACACGGGTGGATAAAATTATCCACAAGCATTGATAAATTTATCCACGAGAGTGGATAACATTATCCACCAGGGTGGATAAAATTATCCACATAAGTGGATAAAATTATCCGTAAGCTTGGATAAAATTATCCATAAGCGTGATTAAAATTGTTCACAAGAGTGGATAAAATTATCCACAAGCATGGATAAAATTATTCGCAACATTGGATAAAATTATCCGAGAGTGTGGATAAAATTACACACAAATTTGTAGTGGATGAAATTATCCGCAGGAGTGGATAAAATTATCCACAAGCGTGGATTAAATCATCCACAATCGTGGATAAAATTATCCACAAGTGAGGATAAGATTATCCATGCGGATGGATAAAATTATCCGCAAATGTGGATAAAATTATCCACAAGCGTGGATAAAATTATCCACAGGCATGGATAAAATTATCCACACTGGTGGATAAAATTATCCACAGGCATGGATAAAATTATCCACACGGGTGGATAAAATTATCCACAAGCATTGATAAATTTATCCACGAGAGTGGATAACATTATCCACCAGGGTGGATAAAATTATCCACAATAGTGGATAAAATTATCCACAATAGTGGATAAAATTATCCGAGAGTATGGATAAAATTACACACAAATTTGGATAAAATTATCCACAAGAGTGGATGAAATTATCCACAGGAAAGGATAAAATTATCCTCAACGTTGGAAAAAATTATCCACTAAGGTGGATAAAATTATCCACAAGCATGGATAAAATTATCCACAAGCATGGATAAAATTATCCACAAGCATGGATAAAATTATCCATAGGCACGGGTAAATATATCCGTAAGTGTATATAAAATTATCCACTTGAGTGTATAAAATTATCCACAAGAATGGATAAAATTATCCACAAACGTGGATAAAATTATCCACAGGCATGGATAAAATTATCCACACTGGTGGATAAAATTATCCACAGGCATGGATAAAATTATCCACACGGGTGGATAAAATTATCCACAAGCATTGATAAATTTATCCACGAGAGTGGATAACATTATCCACCAGGGTGGATAAAATTATCCACATAAGTGGATAAAATTATCCGTAAGCTTGGATAAAATTATCCATAAGCGTGATTAAAATTGTTCACAAGAGTGGATAAAATTATCCACAAGCATGGATAAAATTATTCGCAACATTGGATAAAATTATCCGAGAGTGTGGATAAAATTACACACAAATTTGTAGTGGATGAAATTATCCGCAGGAGTGGATAAAATTATCCACAAGCGTGGATTAAATCATCCACAATCGTGGATAAAATTATCCACAAGTGAGGATAAGATTATCCATGCGGATGGATAAAATTATCCGCAAATGTGGATAAAATTATCCACAAGCGTGGATAAAATTATCCACAGGCATGGATAAAATTATCCAAAAGCGTGGATAAAATTATCCGGAAGCGTGGATAAATTTATACACTACGTGGCCAAAATTATCCGCTAAAGTGGATAAAATTATCCACAGGAGTGGATAAAATTATCCACATATGTGGATAAAATTATCCGCAAGGTTGGATAATATTATCCATAAATGCGGATAAAATTATCCACAAGCGTGGATAAAGTATTCATCAAACGCGGATAAAATTATCCACATGTGTGGATAAAATTATCCACAAGCTTGGATAAAAATATCCAAAAGCTTGGATAAAAATATCCAAAAGCGTGGATAAAATTATCCACAAGCGTGGATAAAATTATCCACAAGCTTGGGTCAAATTATCCGCAAGTCTGAATAAAATTATCCACAAGCGTGGATAAAATTATCCACAAGCGTGGTTAAAATTATCCCCAAGCTTGGCTAATATTATCCGCAAGAGTTGATAAAATTATCCACAAACGTGGATAAAATTATCCACAGGCATGGATAAAATTATCCGGAAGCGTGGATAAAATTATCCCCAACTTGGATAAAATTATTCTCAAATGTGGATAAAATTATCCACAAGTGTGGATAAAATTATCCGCGTTTGTGGACAAAATTATCCTCAAACTTGAATAAAATTATCCCCAAACGTGGATAAAATTATCCCCAAACGTGGATAAAATTGTCCCCAAACGCGGATAAAATTATCCACAAATTTGAAAAATTCTCCACACTCGCGTTCTCAAAAGTCCGCCACTTTTCAGCCCACATATCCAAATTTTTTTTTAGTCGACAAACTTCCGAAATCGGCAACTTCTTGTTGGGGGATTTTTTGTTCTTCGGCCTTCCGTCTGTCTAGACTGGTCTGGTAAAAAAAACAGCAACTCCAACAACAACAAATCAAAACAAACCCACACTGAATCTCATTAAACAAAAAATTTCCACGCGCCAGACAGTTTTCTCTTCTGGTCCAAAAGGGCGATGGCATCGCATCATCATCAGCACCGTCATTTCCATATAAAAAGCCATTAAAAACGTCTGGGCATTATTAGTTTCTCAAGACAGTCTCAAGTCGGTGGACACAAGTCGCTCTCGGAAGAAGAAAACACAAAAAAAATGGCCAAATTATTTATTTTGTCGGTTGTGGCTACGGTGGCCCTAGTTCAGGTAAGAACAGCTACCAACAACAACGAAGTTGTTCCGCACAATTTTTTGGATTGGACTTTAAACTTTGTTGTGTGTTGCGATTTAACAGGTCTGCTCCGCCGTCCATTTGGGTGAAGCCCTGAACAACAACATTCGCCAGCATCTGAGTTTGTACGACAGCTTTGCGAAAAGTCCTGATGCAGTCAAGTTCTCGGGAGATTTGAAAAAGTTAATGGAAATTACCGAAGGTGCCTTGAAAATTGAGAATGTGGATGAAAAGGAAAATACCATCAACAATTTGCACACCCACTTCTCGGCCGATTTCAATAGCTGGATTGCCCTGAAATTGGAAGAGGCTGAGGTCAACGAGGACATCCAAGGTGCCATCACCTTCTACTCGCAACTGTTGAAACAAAAATCCTCCCACGAGGCTGAAATCAAAAAGACCATCACCACTTTGGAGACGCTGTTGAAGGAAAATGATTTGCAAAAGAAGGAGAAGGAATATCTCGGTTTGTCCAATAACTTCAGTCCTGAATTTGCTGCCTACCTCAAGACCAGCTCCCTGCCAGTTATCAATGATACTTTGCAAAAAACCATCAAATTCTTCGACTCGGTCTTGGCCCAGAAGGAGGGTAAATTTGTTAAGGAAATCACCGAATTGAAGGCCATGGTTGAGGGTGTCCTGGGTGAGAGTGCCAGCATTGAAGAGAAGAATCGTGTCTTGGGTGAGGTTACCAGTGCCAACAACAACAAGGAATTGCATGCCTATTTGACCAAGAAACACATTGAGTTGTCCTAAATTGGCGAGAGAGAGAGAAAGAGATTGTCATAGAGAAGTGAGAGAGGGAAGTGATTTCCCCAGTGATGTGATCGTTGAGAGGCTAAATTATTTATTTATGAAAAAAATGTTTGTTATTCGAAAAAACACGACAACAACAAAAACAAAAAATATACAAATTGTATGACAAAACAAAAAAACAAAAAACAACAACACTGGAAACTTTTATTCTGAAATTACTTCGTTGGAAGGATTTTAATTTAATCCAATTTGAAAAGATAAAATGTAGAGAGAATATTAAAATCTCATGGGTTTGGTACGTAAGGACATATTGAGAGATAGGAGGATGAGAATAAATGGACTCAGAATAGGGATTCTATTTTTTATTCTCGAAAAAAATTGTGGACCTACGCATTCATGTTAAACAAAAAACAAAAAAAAAAAAAAAAAAAAAAAAAAAAAAAAAGAAAAACTCAAGGACATGATATCCAGCTACACAGTATAGTCAGTAATTATGACCTACTTATTCTTCCTTAAAATTTTAAATTTTTTTCTATAGAATTTGCATCATTAGGCATGACTCAGCAAATTCTTAACAATTATTCAGCTATGTTGAAATCAGATATGTAGATCCCTTACGAGACCTAGGTCGCCAAATTCAATCATTTTCAAAAATTGCACTGCAGTTAGCCAATTAAAAATAAAAGGTCTAGATTTCAAAGTTGGCAAAATATCGATAGCCGCCCACGTTCGATATTTTCGATATATATTATCCATGTAATTTATTGAAAATATCGAATGTGGGCGGCTATCGATATTTTGCCAACTCTGCGATCTAGATCAATTTTTTATTGGCCAACTACAATGCCATTATTAAAAAGGGTTGAATTTGGGGACCTAGGTCTCGCAAGGGCCAACGATATTGGTGATAACTAATAAAAATGCTATAAAAATATCCGATATTTTCGATATAGAAGTCTATAAAAAACCATTTGATATTTTCGATATGAAGCTCATCATCTACATATATGTTTTCGATATTGAAATTCTATAAAAAACATTCGATATTTGGATATTAATAAGTTTAAAAAAATACCATAAGAAGCCTTCTGCATTTTCGATACTTGACTTTCAAAATATCGATACTAATTGGAAATTATGAAAATGCTACGAAAAAACATTCGATATTTTCGATATATATTACTTTCGTAGTTTCAAAACAATCGATCATTTAAATAATATTCGATATTTTCGATTTATATATGGCTTTCGAAGATCCGAAACAATCGATAATTTAATATATATTCGATTTTTTCGATATAGATATGACTTGTCCTAATATCGGTTAAAACGATAATATCAGCAAGTAAAAAAATCAATTCGAAAAATTATTTTTTTTTCAATGATTAGGAAAATCCAGCAGATAATGAAAGTAGAACTAAAAATAGAAGACATGTGTATCGGCGTTTTGAAAGCTTACATTCCAAAATAAACAAAATATTGGGGGCAAGTCACCCCCCTCCCCCCAACCTCAACTCTTTTGGAAAGTTAAATCGATTGGAAAATACGGCCGAGACCCTCACAATATTCTATAGCAGGGGGCAACTTTTTATAAGGGCTTTACAAAGCTGATCGAGAATATTAATATTTTTTTTTGAAGAATTTGAAAATTTTTTGAAAAATTATATTGAAATTTTTTGCATAGCTTTTCCGCAAAAAAATATGTCAAAAAACAAAAAAAGGCGAATTTAATCAGAAAACATGAACAAATCGTACAAAATACTTAAAATCGGATTTATCCTTACAAGGGGATATACCAAAAAGTGGACCGATATGACCCATATTTTTTAATAATGGTTCTGAATGTAATCCAAAGATCTTTGTTAAATTTCAAAGCTCCATCCTCAATGTTGCTGAGTTCCTCTGTATATCGTCAAGGCAATGTAAAGGCCTAGAATAAGATTGGACAAAGAATCCAAAACTTTTTGGAGTTTTGATCTACAACCCGAGTAGTATGAAATCTTATTGAAATTTTTCACAACCCAGACTAGCCATTTGATTGAGAAGTAAAAACAATTTGCTGTGATTGGGGAAAAAGTGTTAAAAATTAAGTCGATTCGATCTAGCGATGTCCATCCGTCTGTCTGTCTGGCTGGCTGGTGCGGACGATTACAATCGAAGGGAGTATCCAATTTGGTCCAAACTTGGTACATTGTTATATTTTTATCAAACTCAGATCGAGTTCGGAGATGGGCAATATTGGTCCATTCCTTCTGGTACGTCGCCCACAAAAGGTCTTTTAAAAATCTGCACAGAAAGAGATAGGTTTGTCCGATTTCGCTCCAACTTTCCAAATCCAAATATTTGCATCAGTGCTTGGTCAGGTGTGAAAATGGACAATATCGTTCCACTCCATCAAGTATTTCCCCCACAAAGAGTCAACATTTTGAATAATTATAACTCTTATAAAATACGAAAGAAGAGTCTGACTCCAAATTACACACATGACAATTTTTCATTAACCTAAGGTCTGGTGTGAAGATGGAATATATCGGTACACTCCTTCTGGTACCTCCCCCACAAAGGGTCAATATTTGGAATATCCATAAGCTCATAAAACTCGAAATAAACACCCTATTACAATCAGACTTAGCACATCTAAATATTTCTATCAACTCAAGATCTGTTTGTTATAAAGATGGTTGAGATAGGACAATTCCGTCTGGTACCTCTCCCACAAAGGGTCAAAGTTCTTGTTATCCAAAACTATCATAAAATCCAAAATAAGCATCCGGTTCTCTTTATATTTCACACATCCCATATATCGGTCAACTCTTTCTGGCACCTCCCAACAAGGGTCAACATTTTGAATATTCATGAAGCTCATAAAACATGAAATTAACATCCGATTCCATTCAGATTTGGCATATCTCAATATTTCTATCAGCACAAGATATGTTATACAGATGATGGAGATAGGACCATTCCTTCTGGTACCTTCTGGATATTTTTGCTAACGCATGATCTGTTGTGAAGATGATTTATATCTACCAATCCTTTGGTAGCCCTCACCAACAAAGGGTAAACATTTTTAATACTATTATCTGTCGTAAATTGCGAAACAAGTCGGCGATTCTTTACAACTTGCTGTACCTAACTCAACCAGAAAGCTGAGGGTACATATCTGTCGGCAAAACCCACTGTATATTTTCGAAAAATGTGAATTTCATAAAAATATATTTTAAAGAAATAATTGTTTTTTTTATCTGGAGTGGCTTTAAAAATTATGCAATGTAGGTTTAAAAAAAATCTAAGGATATAATATTTTTTTTAAAATGTTTTAAAGATTTTTTTTAGGAATGTGAATTTTTTAAAAAAATATTTTTGATATTTGTTTGCTTAATGAAATGCTGTCTCATCACTAAAAGAACACGTCGACAATGCAGGATCTTCAAACAGAATGAAAACCAATAAATTATAAAAAGGTGTTATTGCTCTTAGAATCTTTTTAAAAAACACGATTTTTTTTAACAATTTTGATTGAATTACTATAAAAAATATTTTTAAAAAAAAAAAAATGTCAAATATATTTCTTATAAAGAAAATACATTCAAACAGTAAATTTTTAAGGAATGTCAATTTTGATAAAAATATTTTTCATGGAACCTGCATTTTTATAATGCATTAAAAAACAGAACCTGGATGCAAGCTTATCAATTGAGGGCTATTTTTTTAGAATTCTTTAAAAAAAAAACATGAATATTTATAATATGTGTTTGGGTTTGGATTTAAAGAACGAACATTTTAATAAAAATATTTTTTTTGGGACCCTGAAAAAGTATTTTAAAGAAATACTTTTCCACGTTCCACCTGCAAAGGATTTTTTAGTATTTTCTTAAAAAAAGAAATTATTGTTTTATTTTTATAACAATAATTTTTCTGATTTGTTTTTTTTTTTTGTAAAGTTAAAAAATGTCTTTAAAAATACATCTTTAAGAACGAAAATTTGGAAAAAAAAATATTTGTTTAGAATACTTGAATTTAAAAAGTATTTTTTAAGAAAAAAAAATAATGTAAAAAATAAAGAAAGGTCAATTTCAATTTCGAGAAATGTGAGTTTTAAAAAATTAGAAAGAAAATCCAAGGAAACAATAAATATTCTTTATGAATCGTAAATTTAACTAACTTTTTTGATAAGATTTTTTTATGGTAAAGTTCTCTAAAAATTTGGAAGAAATTATTAATATGTGGATAATTTTTTTCCAAAATTGTTGACAGAATTGTCAACGAATGCTGGTTTTTTTTTGTCAAGGAAAGTTGAGCAAAATATTGGTTAGGAAGCAACAATTTTGCACAGATCAGTCTTTTGTCTGCAGGCAGGTCAAGTTCAAAGATGGCCTATATCCCTCCACTATATTGTGTAGCCCCCATACAACGGTAATCCCCGATATTCGGTATTTTGATGATTTTAGCCACATTTTTAAATGGAATTGTTTGAAATTCTACTTAAAGAGTTCTTTACCCCCTGAAAGAGAAATGTCTACATAGGTCCACTATATCGTATTGCCCACATACATCGGTACCTCCCAATATTAGTTATTTTGACCATTTTAGGGACATCATTAACCGGAGTTGTTTCAACTTTCGTATTTTGAATTCGTAATGGGTACTACAGCCTATGAAAGAAATGAGTATGCAGGTCCACGCCTTCGTATAGCCTTCATATAATGGTACCTCCCGATATTCGGTATTTTGATAATTTTATTGACATTATTCACCAGATCTATTTCAAATTTCGTATATAGAGTTCATAATGGGAACTACAGTGTATGACAGAAAATTGTCTACACAGGTCCAGGTCTTCGTATAGGCCCCATATATCAGTACCTCCCTATGTTGGGTATTTTGATAATTTTAGGTATAATATTCACCGAAATTGTTTGAAATTTCGCATTTGAAGTTCCTAATAGGTACTACCATCTATGACAGAAAATTATTCATGCAGGTCCACGTCTTCGTATGGCTCCCATATAACGGTACCTCCCGATATTCGGTACTTTGATGATTTTAGCGACATTATTCACCGGAATTGTTGGTATTTGAAGTTCGTAATGGATACTACAGCTTATGACAGAAAATTCTCTATGCAGGTCCACGTATATATGTATATATCTATATAACGGTAGCTCCCGGTATTCGGAATTTTGATGGTTTCAACAACATTATTCACCATTATGGTTTCAAATTTCGTATTGGGAGATGTTATTGGTTACTACAACCTATGGCAACAATTTTCGTATGCCGATCTTCGTATAGCCCCGATATAACGGTGCCTCCCGATATTCGGTATTTTCATGATTTTAGCGACATTATTTACGGGAATTATTTCAAATTTCGTATTTGAAGAAGACTACAGCGTATGACAACAATTTTTATATGCAGACCCACATCTTCGTATAGCCGGTTTTCTTTTAAGTGGTAGTTTTCGGAATTCTTTTTTGAAAATTTTCAATTTCCTTCCAAACTAAGCCCCTTTTTTAATTGTTATTCAACTACTTCCTGAAAAAATATGGCCTTATTCCAATCGAACATGTCTGAAGGTTACATCAAGCCATGCGCTTGTGGAGATGATTTTTTTTTTTTTTTGAGTTGATGTAGGATCCATTGGAAATTCTGCCAAGCAAATTCCAGACAAATCGAGTGGAAATTGAAAAATATTAAAAATTCCTTAAATCGGGTTTTGGAAAAAAAAAAAAACATTTTTCGAAAGTTTTTGTTTAAAATTTTAATTTTGGGAGAGGGTAATTCGGTCTTATTCAATTTTATGCTTATTTTTATAATTTACCCACATTTCCTCCAATTTACAGTCTATTTGAGTGGACATTTTTAACAGTTTGATTGAAAATATTGAAAATTTCTGAAATTGGTTTCTGGAAAAAAAAACTTTTTTTCGAAAGTTTTTTTTTAATTGTATTTTTGGATAATTCAGTATTTTTTGAGAAATAATTTAATTTAATTTATTTTTTTAGAATTTATCCTTATTTTCCTCAACCTAAAGTTCTAAGGCCCCATAAGTGCCAGTGGAATTTTTTCGGTGTAGCATTTTTTTCTTGGCCCGTTTTTATGCTAACAAACCACGAACTCAATATTTTTTATTTTTTAATTTTTTTGGGGATTTTTCGGAATTTTAAAATTATAAACAAACAAATCAAAACAACCCGCGAAAAAAGCGATGAACGTTAAAAGGCAAATAACAAGACGGCCGTTACGTAGCTACGACAAAGATGTTGACTGTTTTCTCTCGGTTTTTGCTTTCTGGGCGAGTTGGGTGGGAAGAAAACAAAACAAAACAATCAAGTTCGGATGAGCGCTCGGCCAATAAAGGCCAGCGATATAAAAGGCTTTGGAAAAAGCCGGTATTCAGTAGTTTCTAAAGTCAGCTGCAAACCAGTGGACGACTAGCTCTTCAACCAAAAAATAAAAAAAAATTATGGCTAAATTCGTGATTTTTACCGTCTTGGCTTTGGCTGCCCTTGTCCAGGTAAAGTAACAACTCCAGCTTTCAAAACAATGGAGTTTTTTTTATTAAAATGTAATGTTTGGCATAGGTCTCCATGGCCCGTGATTTGGGAGAAGCCTTGAACATGAACATCCGCGAATCGCTGCGTTTGTATGACGTTTTTGCCAAACATGCCGATGCCGCTCCCTATGCCGATGACTTGAAGAAACTGGTCCAAATCACCGAAGGAGCCTTGAAATCCGAATCTGTGGAGGAGAAGGAAAACACCATCAACAACATTCACAAAAACTTCTCCGAAGAGTTCAACAAATGGATTGGCCTGAAATTGGAACATGCCGAAGTCAATGAGGACATCCATGGTGCCATCACTTTCTATAGCTCCCTGCTGAATCAACAGACCCCCCATGAGGCTGAAATCAAGAAGACCATTGCCACCTTGGAAAACATGTTGAAGGACACCGATTTGAAGAAGAAGGAAATGGATTTCTTGGGCTTGCCCAAAACTTTCAGTCCTGAATTCGATGCTTATCTCAAGCAAACCTCTTTGCCCGTTCTCAATGAATCTTTGCAAAAAACTGCCCAATTCTTCCAGGCCCTTTTGGAATTGAAGGAAGGTAAATTCGATAAGGAAGTCACCGAATTGAAGGCCATGGTTGAGGCTGCTTTGGCCGACAGCGTTTCCGTGGAGGAGAAGAATCGTGTCTTGGGCGAAGTCACCGATACCAGCAACCAACAGCTGAACGAATATTTGGCCAAGAAAAATATTGAATTGGCTTAAATGTGATTTCATGAGATCGAATTTAAGTTAGGATATTTAAAAAGAAGAAAAGAATTTAAAAATTTAAGAAAAAAAAAAAAACAATAAAAAATATGATTTGAAAAATCAAGGACATTTATTTTTTATTATTTAAGGGGATTAAAAATTAAAAAAAATTTTGTTTTTTTGAAAATAAATTTTATTTATTTGGAGGATATGGCCTTCACTGAAGTATATTAAAAAAAAATAATTTTAAGATATAAAAAATAGGAGAAAAACAATATTTGAAAATTTAAAAATGGGATTAGAAATCCAAAAAAAAAAATTTTTAAACATTTTTTTATTTATTTGAAGGACATTCCTTTTGCTTAAGGATATTAAAAAACAATTGAAGAAAGATGAAGAAAAAAATATTTTTTTAAAAATTTAAAAATATTTTAAAAAATATATTTTTTAATTTCTAATCCCCTGAAACAAAAAATATATTTCCTTGATTTTTAAAAAATATTTTTTTCTTCTTCTTCCTGCACTGAAGGATATTTAAATAACGATTTTCAAATTAAAAGAAAAATAAATAAAAGATATGATTTGAAAAATCAAGCTCATATTTTTTTTTTTTTATTTAAGGGGATTAAAAAATCGCAATTTTTGGTTTTTGAAATATAGTTTTCATTTATTTGAAGGACATCCCTTTCATTGTATCATATGTAAAATAATTATAAATTATTATAATTTATAAATTATGAAAAAAATTGAAATAGGGCTTTTATTCATTCGAAGGGGAACGGATTTTAAAAGAATAAAAATATTAGAAAAAAATGATTTGAAAAATCAAAAAAAAAAAAAAGAAATATTTTTTTAATTTAAGTGGATTAAAAATAAAAAAAAAATATTTTTTAAAATATTTTTTTTTAATATTTTTTTGGGAGAATATTTTTTATAAAACCAACAATAATGCGATTAAGCCTGACCATTTTGCAACAAAAAATATTTTTTATTTATTTCAAGGGCATTGTCTTCACTGAAGGATATTAAAAAAAAAAACAATTAAAGAAAAATTGTGAAAAAATATTCTTTCAAAAATCAAAGAAAAATATTTTTTATTTCGGTTATTAGGAATTAAAAAATATATTTTTTTCGCTGAAGGATGTGTAAAAAAAATTTTGAAATTAAAAAAAATTGAAAAAAAAAAAGTAAAAAGCTTCTGTTTCTGATAAAATCTTAAAAATGCCGAATGTAGCCGTTATATTAGGGTCTATATGGGGGCTATACCAAAACGTTACGAACTTCAAATACCAAATTTGAAACAATTCCTGCGAATAATGTCGTGGACAGACAATTTTCTGTCACAGACTGTAGTTCCCATTACGAGCTCTAAATGCGTAATTTGAAACAATTCCGGCGAATAATGTAGCTAAAATCATAAAAATACCGAAAATCGGAAGGTACCGTTATGTGGAGGCTACACCAAAACGTGGACCTACATGGACCATTTTCAATGCCAAAAGTTCTGCAGACCTGACATACATGTGAGTAAAATTTTATCAATCTACTTTAATTCGTTCGGAAGCTAGAGTGATTTCCACAGACGGACATCGCTTAATCGACATAAAATTATATATACTTTGTGGGGTCTAAAATATATATTTCGAGGTGTTACAAACGGAATGACAAACCTAATATACCCTCCATACTAAGGTGGAGGGTATAAAAATATCGAGATTCGATTTTTTTTTAAATTATATAAAAAATAATTTTTATCCATTGGTTTTGGTCCTTGTAGGTCATACACACAATTTAACGGTACCTCCCGATATTCGGTAATTTGATGAATGTTGCCACATTTTTCGCGGATTTGTCTAAAGATTGGTATTTGTGGGTCGTAATGGGTTCTAGCTCCGGGAGCAGATGATTGAATATTTAGTTCCACGTTTTCCTATATCGATATCCACCGATATTTGGTATTTTGATAATCCAAGTCATTTTTACCCACGAAATTGTTTAATTTTTTTTTGTTTTTTGAAAGATTTGGTAGATGACAATCCTTGAAGTATAAAAATTTCTGTAGAGGTTTCCGTTTTGGTATGGGCCCCATATAACGGCCTAACCTATTTTATGTTTTTTTGTGAAAAATTAACATCACTGGTACTGGTATTTGTAGTTTAAAGTGAAACACGATATATACAATTCAGATACTTTTATAAAAAAAGGATTTCTGTATCCAATGGTGGAGCGTATTTAAAGTTTGGTCCGGCTGAACTTAATGCTGTTTACTTTCTTGATTTAAAAATATATATTTATAAAAATTCACGTTTTTTGAACAAAATTTTGAAAGATTTTTTTTTTTGAAAAACTTATTAAAAAAAATATTTTTTTTTCAAAAAAAGGTTTTTCAAAAAAAATATATTAAAAAAAATCAAAAAAAAAAATTTTTTTTTCAAAAAATTTGCGTTGAAAAATCAAAAAAAAAATTATATTTTTAAGTTGACCATTTAAAAAAAATATATACATATTCCTTCAAAATGAACGTTTTATCAGTTGTCTTTTTTTTGAAAAATATTTTTATAAAAATTCATTAAATATTTTTTTAATTAATCATTTTAAAAAATATATTTCTTAAAAATTGACGTTTAACTGACTGTTTTCATTTTCTTAAAAAATATTTTTACAAAAATTTACGTTTCTATATCAAATTTTTGAAAAATATTTGTTAAGATTCTGAAAAATATTAATTATTAAAAAATAAATTAATAAATAATATTCTTTAAGAATCTTAAAAAAAAATAGAAAAAGTTTTGTAAACAATTTAGGTTTTCTTAAAAAAAAAATCCTAAGAAATAAACAAAAAAAAAATATTTTTATAGTTAAAAAAATTTAAGTGAAACTGGATTTTTTACAAAAAAAAAAAAAAAAAAAAAAAAAAAAAAAAACGTTGAAATTTTTTTTTTTAAGTTTTCAGTTTTTTTTTTAAGTTATTTTTTTTAGAAATAGTTTTTAAAAAACCCTGTTCATTATAAATATTTGAGTTTTTTAAAAATGTTTTTAAATTATAAAAAAAGAATTTTCTGGAAAAATATTTCTTAAAATATATGTTAATAAAACCCAAAAAAAAAAAAATACATATGTTTTTTAGAAAGTCACGTTCCTTCAAAAATTATTTTGTATTAATTTTTTTTTTTTCATAATTTTTTGTAAAAACCAATTTTTAAGAAACTCGAAAATCCGTAAAAATATTTTGTTATGAAACGTCATTTTAAATATAAACATAATTTCATGAAACAAAATTTTATAAAAAGTAATTTTTTTGAAAAACTTAATTTTTGTAGTTTTTTTTTCCTTTGAGAAAAAAATCGGAAAAAAAATATTCTTTAAAAATCTTTATAAAATAAAATATTTTTCAGGAATTTGTTAAAGAAATATGAATATTTATAAAATTAATTTTTAAAAATATTTTTTTTTATTCTTATACATTTTTTTAAGAAACTATTTAAAAAAATATTTTTTTATAATTTTTTTACTTAATTTTTACATATTTTTTTTTAACAAATATATTTTTAAAAAGGGTTTTTGCGTATTAAAAAAATTATTTTAATACGCAAATATTTCGTATAATTGTATAATAATTATAATTTTTTTAATGAAAACACGTTTAAAAAAACTCGAATTTCTGTAAAAATATTTTGTTATGGAACGTAAATTTAAATAAAAACGTTATTTAATGAATATTCTTTAAAGATCTTTATTTAAAAATATTTTTCAGGAATTTGTTAAAGAAATATGAATGATTATAAAAATAATTTTTAAAAGGGCCAAAAAACGATTTGAGGGACATACATTTCTATAAAAATATTTTTTTTTTGATGCTTATACATTTTTTCAGAAACTATTTAAAAAAACTATTTTTTTTAAATTTTTTTTTAGTTAATTTTTCATAATTTCTTTTAATAAATATATTTTTAGAAAGGGGTTTGGCGAATTAAAAAAGAAATGTTTTTGGACTCTTATAAAAATATTTTTTAAGAAACAATTTTTTTATAATTTTTTTTACATAATTTTTTTATGAAAATACGTTTAAAAAAAACTCAAATTTCTGTAAAAATATTTTGTTAAAAAAAACTATTTTTTATATTTTTTTTTTTACATAATTTTTAATAAACATATTTTTTGAATGGGTTTTTGTGAATTAAAAAAGAAATGTTTTTGGACTTTTATAAAATAATTTTTTATGAAAATACATTTTAAAAAACTCGAATTTCTGTAAACATATTTTGTTATGGAACGTCAATTTAGAAAAAAAAAAATATTTTTATGAACCTAGATTTTTTAAAAAAAGTATTTTTTTTTTGGATTTATAAGTATTTCTTAAGAAACTTTTTTTATGAAATACTTTTTCACATATTTTTTTTTACAAAAATTATGTTTTAAGAAACTTGATAAAAATATTATTAGATAAAAATATTATTTTATTTAACCTGGATTTTTTAAAAAAAAATATTTTGTTAGCCATTCCAAAACAAACAAAAAAATATATATATATATATATTTATTAATAAATAAATTTCTTAAAAATTAAATATGCTTTCACTGTTTCTTTCCTTAAAAAATATTTTATAATTTTTTTATATTTTATATGAAACTTCCCGTAATTTTTTAACAATTTCTTAATTTTTTTTTGGAATAAAAATTAAATTGAAATTAAAAATGTATCCCCAATTAATTTCTCTGCTTAAATATCCATATAAAGATAAAAATATTCTTAAAAAATATAAAAATAGTTCTACATTAAAATATATAAGCAATAAAATATGTAAATTTATAAAATAAATTAATTAATATGTGAATATATTATCTGTTTTTATTTTTTATGGAATAATTTATTTTGCCCTTGATTCTTTTTTGTTCCCATTTTTTCTATAATTTATGCCGTTTCTCTTGTTCTTTTGGGTACATAAAATATTTAATTCATGAATTTCAATGTTACTCCGGTTCCGCTTCAGTTTCAATTATTTTTTTATTTATTGTTATTTATTATTATTTTTATTTTATATTCTTTATTTTATCTTTTTTATTTTATATATATATATATTTTTTTTTGTAACATGTAGCCCAATTTAAATAGCTCAAATCGTT